GAGTAAGATTATATTTGAAGTCGAAGCTAAATTTATATCGGAACTTCATTGTAACTTCGATGATTCTATATGTTTGCAATTATAATTGTCGTTTACAAAAGATATGAAACAAAATAAAATTTGTTTAAGTACTTTCTTTTATTAATTTGGGAGCGACTTTTGGTTTTTGGTAAAAGTGCCTAAATGCTAAAATCTTTTAGTCATACGTGACTTAAAAAAGTAAGAATATTTAAAAAATTAAAAAATGACTATCTCATCCTCTTAACAGATTGAATTGAGATTAAACAACTTTCCTGCTAATTAATTGTGCTATATATACTACTTGTTTTATTAGGATAGTATATAATAATTTGTAAGTACTAATTGTGAGAGAAAAATGTTTGGTATTTGTAACTATTATTGCATGATAAAATAATTATGATTAGAAACTCTAATTGTTTTCATTGTTGTTATAAATATGTTTTAATGTCAGTAATAATAATTATATTTGTAACTCTACATACAAAAAATAGTTGTTCCCGAAAATGATAATATTATAGTCTACTTTTATAAAATCTTGCATTAATTAATATATTATAATTGTTTTTAGATTTACCTATATATTTTTTTTATATAAGATTATAAACATAATTATTATTAAATTAACAATAATAACTATAAAAATAGAGCTATTAAGTATAATTATTTTAGCATGCAATTATAGTTGCAAAATTTTTTCTCAGTATAGATATACAAGAAAAATTAAAGCATTTTGAAAATTAAAATTTTCCTCTGTAATAAATGTAGAGATTAAAATTGGACGGACTTTAGGGAGAATATCACAAAGATAGTTCACGTCGATTCCATCGGCAACGCGTTGTACACACGCCTTTAGGTACGACTTTAGCTACGACTCCAACTACATAACGTGTAATAATCTATTCCGTCAAGCGTGTATTTTTGAGTTTACGTCGTCATGACGACCTGGCAAATCGCGCGCGCATACGGCAACGACAACGTCCGTGATGACGCGTCGACGACGACGTCGACGACGAGGAGAGGTGATCGTTAGAGACGCGCGATATCGCGATACCGTTTGCAGGGGTGGCCACTCTGAGCTGTCTACTGGCCTATTTTATGAACTCAATGGGCTACTAAGTTGGCGATTGGTCAAGCACGTCAATGCGCTGTATTGTTCGTTAAAAGAGGATGTGATACGACAAGTATAAAAGATTTTTTTTATCTAAATTTTTTTACCTTTTTAATACGAATTTAAACCGATGAGAATAAATCTAATTAAATAAACGAAAAGTCCTATATTTGGCCAAAATAGGATCTTAAATATTTTTAGTATGAATTTATATGCAGAATCAGATTGTATATAAATTCACACTAGAAATATTTAAACACTAACAAGAGAACACTAAGATGCTGTTTTAACCGAATACAGGACTTCATAATTAATTAGATTTTTTTACCTTTTTACCTTAATTATACTATCTCAGTTGCTTTTATTGTGTTTGAGAAGCGGAACTGTTTGTTTCGAAGGAATAAATCTTATTAGGACCAGGAATCTCCTTCGCACAGTTATACTATCATGGAGAGATTTTTCAAGAAGAATTTTTAATTTTTTTTCCGTGAAATTCTATATAAGTTTTTTCACATAAATCGAGATCTTTTAACATTCTACCTGTAACAATGTTAGAGGAAGGTGATTGAACAGTAAATACATATTTTACAAGCTATTTTATTCCAGCATATAGTGACATAAAGTATAAAATATCTCGTAAAATATTCTTCCATTACTCAAACCTTCCATTATTTTCCCTTCCTTAATATTTTAATATTGTATTATACTTTTATACTCAGAATCCGTATAAAGAGATACGATCTACGATCCTATTTTTTTATACGGATCAACCTAAACTTTTATGAATGTGATAACAGGTAACACTCTGGTAGTCATGAAGATATTACAATAAAAGTGTTCGTTAAATTTACACATAGAGGGTGTGTCAACTTGTAAAAGTAACAACTCCTGTTTCACGAGAATCGCTACGTCGACGAAATTTGTCGGATTTTGTCTGCTGACGCAGAAGTTTTCTGACAAATGAAACTGACACGTGATAAGCTGTCATAAAAATTGAAAAAGTCTCATAAGCAGTTAACGTCTTTTTCAACGATCTCAGAAATTGTTGAGTTATAAAAGTATTACAACAATATCTATCATTTATTATTTCTAATCATAAACTCAGCAACAATAATCAATATTGTTTTATTGTGCAATTTATTCATTCTATCGCTAATGAAAAGTATTTTAATCGAAACTCTTTCACGTATAGAATTGATTTTAATTTGTCAAAAATTTAAAAAGTGTCTCGACTGAAGAGGTGATGTAAAAGGAAAAATTCTATGAGTGCTGTGATGTAAATATTATTTCACCTATTACAATATCAATTATAAAAGAATGTAAATATTTTTCATTTCAACGACAACAGAATATAATAACTAAAACGAACGCAAATAATATTGTATTATACTTTTTCTCTTTTTGCTAGCATATTTATTTCGGCCGTTTCAAATTATTTTTATGTTAAATCTTCAATGGAGACGTTGTATATTTTGAAAATTGAAAAGTACATAGTCAAAATATTTTTATGAGTAGCAACTTCTCTCTTTTCCATTGCAATACTTCTGCAGTTTACAGTAACGGATATGAGTTAAAGGCGATATGCCGTTTGTAATTCGGTTAAGAATGGGCTCGGCTGCTTATTGTAACGACAAAATTGTCACTCAGGCTTATATAACAAGTTAATAAAGAATATCAGAAGAATTATGGCGATATTACGAGCAATTTCGAGAGGGTGAGAAAGCATTGTGGAAATTGTTGTTTGGAAGGGATTAATCCGTGGTGGCGATAAGTTGATTCGTTTGTAGAAGGATGAGTGAAACGTGTCATAATGTGAATGTTTGCGGCTGATTCCATCTTTCCAGAGTGGAGGAATTCCGTCGGGAAATCTTCTGTTACACTATATGATACTGCAGGGCCTCGTCGGAGATATTATTTATGGTATAATCGTATTCGGTGTGCACGCGGGTTTACAGCGGCCTCGCATGCGCTTATAATTACTCAACCGCGTATTAATTTTGCGAAATTATATTGTCTCGATAGAAAAAAAAGGTAGATACATCCATTGTACAAAACGTTGATGAAATATAATTATTTCGAAACCACTACTGTAATTTTGCGAAATTACAATAACGGCTTTTAAAAGCTCTCCTTTGTACAGGAGTTTTTTTTTACCAATGTGAGTGATAAATGGTTAACAATTTAACGTAATACAGTTTTGAAGTAATATCGTTAATTCTTTCTGAATTAACCAAAATACATTGATTAGTAGATCTATTAAAAGATTAACTGATTGGAAATGAGGATTGATATCATAAGACGCACACCTGGATCGATATCTTCCTTTTTCCGACGTTCTACGTCCCGATTATTTGTTGAAATCAATATGGCAATAATACTTTCAATCGATCCGTACGACGAACGTAAGGAATAATATTGTTACAGACTCCAGTTCTTAAATTAAGGAAAGCAATTGCTAGATTAATCATGAAGTAAAGTGACTGCAAAGGTGGTTCGGAGCGAGGATCGATATCTTCGTGCGCGATATTCTCGTTGCGTCTATTTTTTCTAACCAATAAGCTTTCGCGATAAAATCTACGTTATAATCAGGCTAATCAATCACTAAATTAAAATATATTACGTGAATTAAGTCCATCAATGATTTTAACAACAACTGAAACGTCAATCGCGTGTTAAAAATTTTATCCATTCTTTAGAAACATGTGGATTTCATAAAATATTTTAGGATATTTAAAACATAAAATTTATTTTAGGAACTTTTATTAGCTTTTATCAGCATTTAATGCTTTAAATTAAAATGTCGGCTTTTTAATTAATCTTGATACTTAAATAATACAAATAAGCGAAAAAATGAAGGTTTTACTTGATTGAAGCGGATCTTGATGTCTAATAATGTTTTTGTGTGAATTTTACAATTTTCATGTAAACTGCGCGCTAATTATCCGTTGATCTCGAAACACAGTTCGAAACCGAAACCGGAGTACGCAGTATCATAGATTAAATTGACAAACGATTTAATAATATTGATGCCGATGTAGCATTTTAAATGACCGAAAAGAATTTGTTGCAAAAAAATATCGGCCTATCCAGGGCTGAATTTTGATATTCAGGACTTTCGGAGTTGCAATGGCGTCGAGCTGAGCTCCAAGTCCACTCCGCGATCCTGAAACGCGGCGATATACATTCTCTCGTCACACGTCTATTTTTACTCGTCTCCGCTGAACC